TTATTGATTCTTGGTAATAAAAATGGCAAAAAGCATCCAAAAGGTAAGTTATCTAACTGCATCCTCATGAAATAATATCTAAATTCAAGATTACTGACAGAGACATAGTATTTATTCCTGCTTCTACATCTAATGGAACAACTTTATAATCCACCTTCAAGTAAAAGTGTCCCCCTAAATATTAAAAACTTATAAGACTTCCTAGGTTCAGGACAAAATTATATTTCTATTATTTTAACTATAATGCAGAGACAAAGCCATTTTCATAGTCACAATGTTTTTAAATAGATGCTATCTATCTTATAAACATTTCAAAACCCCATACAACTCAAGCTCAACCATCCTCTGTCAATGTGGTATCTAGGGTACTGTTGCCTTAACAACAGTACCCCCAATCTCAGGAGGCAGCTCCATCAACTACTCCTGCTACTACATTCCATAGAGAGATATTAGGATGAATATTGCTTTCCCCGAGTTCCTCTTCATGAGGCTAATGAGGCCTCAAGAGAAACCAAGAGTCTCAACAGGAGAATAGGCTAAAAAACCTTATCACCTGTCTTCTTTTTTTTTTTTTTGAGTTGGAGTCTCACTCTGTCACCCAGACTGAAGTGCAGTGGCACACTCCCGGCCACCGCAGCCTCGACCTGCTGGGTTCCAGCATCCTTCTGCCTCAGCCTTCCAAGTAGCTGGAACTACAGGTGCGCGCTACCACGCCTGGCTAATTTTTGATTTATTGTAGAGATGAGACCAAGTTGCCCAAGCGGGTCTCGAACCCGTGGACTCAGGCAATCCACTTACCTCAGCCTCCCAAAACGCTGGGATTACAGGCTGACTCATCGAGCCCGGTTATCACCTGTCTTTTCAGATAAGAATGCAGACTGCACAAACTTCAGTAGCCATTTTTTTTTTTAAGTACATGCAGCATATTTAGAACTCAGCTGTGTCACATCAGACTTACTGTTGGGAAGTGGATCATGAACAGAATCCAAAAATAACAGCCATTAAAGACCTAGCAACCAAAACATGTTTACGTATCCATTGAAAGCCTGGTGGTTTTGATTATATAGTGGAGAGCATAATCCACTAGTCTATTTTAGGTGTGTTTTCCTTTCACCTTCCCTTACTATTAAGGCACAAGATGACTTCTGAGTTTAGGGGTGCATCAAATAAACTCTGGTCAGGGAACAGGTACTGAAATAATACAAGATTCTTATAGTTTCCTATATTTTTTTGTTTTTTAAGAATCAGTATTCTGAAGTATAACTGTGTTCATTCCTTTTTCCTCTATCGGGTAGAAGCCACCGCTTTTTGAGACTTCTAGGGTAGTAGGTTCTAAACCACGACTTGTAAAAATTGTCATGGTCCTTATTACCCCTCCTGGGACTTACATAGCCTTTTCATTATTCTACCATTTCTGGAATAAAGAATTTGAATCAGGCCAGGCTCGATGGCTCAGTCTGTAATCCCAGCACTTTGGGAGGTCGAGGCAAGTGGATTGCCTGAGCCTGCGGGTTTGAGACCAGTCCGGGCAACTTGATGAGACCTCATCTCATCTCTACAATAAATAAAAAATCAGCTGGGTGTGGTAGCGTGCTCCTGTAGTTCCGGCTACTTGGAAGGCTGACATGGAAGAATCTCCTGAGCCCAGCAGGTTGATGCTGTGGTGGCCGTGAGTGTGCTACTGCACTCCAGCCTGGGCGACAGAGTGAGACTCCAACTCAAAAAAAAAAAAAAAAAAGAATTTGAATCAACGACAAATGGATTAAATAGCTTGAGAGGCTCAAGGTGGCTCCAGGATGAAACCATTCTCAAGGGATATAAGAAAGTTAGATGACAGGCCAAGGGTAGTTCACTTTGCCAAATTTATCTTCTCTGCCAGATGTTCACTATTTCATATAACACAAAGCAATCACAGTAAATCTTGTAGAGATCCCACTCTAGAGTTATTTGTTACCAGATACTGGGAGAAACTTGGAAGAAGACTAAATATAATTTAAGAACTGTAATGTCACCTGACCATAAAGTTGTGACAAGAAAGGAGGTAAAGGGATGAAGCATGCTGCCTTCAAAGTCTTAAGTAGCAGCCTTCTAGCCTTTTTCTATGAAAAAAAGCTCATTTTTGTTTCTAGAGACAGTATCTTGCTCTGTCACCCAGCAGCAGTGGCACAATCATAGCTCACTGCAGCCTTGAACTCCTGGGTTCAGCCTCCTGAGTAGCTAGGAAAGTATGGCTGTACAACAACACACCCCGTTAATTTTTAATTTTTTTTGTAGAGGTGAGCTTTCACTATGTTGCCCAGGTTGATCTCAAACTCCTGGCCTGAAACAATCCTCCCACCTATGCTTCTCAAAGTGCTGGGCTTACAGGCATGAGACATGGCACCCAGACTGAAAGAAGTTTCTTTGTTTGTTTTGTTTTTTATGAGTTGGAGTCTCACTCCATTGTCCAGACTGGAGTGGAGTGCAGTGGCACGCTCCCAGCCACCGCAGCCTCGACCTGCTGGGCTCCGGCGATCCTTCTGCTCAGCCTTCCAAGTAGCTGGAACCACAGGCGCACGCTACCACGCCCGGCTAATTTTTTTGATTTATTGTAGAGATGAGGTCTCACCAAGTTGCCCAGGTGGGTCTCGAACCGGCGGTCTCAGGCAATCCACAAACCTCAGCCTCCCAAAGCGCGGGATTACAGGCTGAGCCACCGAGCCCGGCTGAAAGAAGTTTCTTGAATTAAATGAAGAAGGTATCAATGTTCCACATTCACCTTCCCACTGAGAAAAAAAAATGCTTTTAAAACCTAAACCAGAGATTATAATGAATCCTAATAACCAAAATATCAACAAACAATTCAGAAATGGGAGAAAGAAGTAGAAGAAAATGGCCTATGGTAAACAAAACCTAACCAAAGGAACTAGGAAGGAACCAAAGTAAAAAGTTCCTACTGGTTTCCTAACTCCAGTTAAAAACAAAAAAAAAGCAAAACAAAAACAAAGAAATAAACACAAATTTCATAAATCTGTTAAATCTCACAAATTTCAGAGGATACTACTCTTTTCTGATGAGATAGCCTGAAGAAATGCTATTTATATCTTCCTCAGAGAGCTTAAGAAATGTTTTTCTCATGTGTTCCTTTTTTTTTTGAGTTGGGCATCTCACTCCGTAACCCAGACTAGAGTGCAGTAGCATGATCATAGCTCACCACAGCTTCTATCTCCTGGGCTCAGGCAATCCTCCCTTCTTAGCCTCCTAAGTAGCTGGGACTATAGGTATGCACTACCATGCCCAGCTAATTTTGTTTTGCCCAGGATGGTCTCAAATTCCTGGGCTCAAGCAATCCTCCCACCTCGGCCTCCCAAAGTGCTGGGATTACAGTGTGAGATACCATGCCTGCCCTGTGTATTCCTTGTTTCCATAATGTAGTTGTGTTTTTTTTTTTAAGAAGTCTTTGTCTGGGTGGTTTTAAGCACACTGCATATAAGAGAAGTATAGGAGTTGAGTAGCTTAAACAATAACTGAAGAAAAACAGTGGTAAGTATGAGAAAAATAAATTTTCTCACCAAAAAAGTATATTTTTCTTTTTTTTTTTAAAGCAGGATTTATTGAGAGGACAGAAAAGCTCCCACAGCGGGAGGGGACCCAAAGGAGTTTCCCACATGTTTTTCAAGTAAAGAAGTTAAAAAGGTACCAGGTATCATTTATGAGAATCATACTACATAGTATTATCAAATTCACACACAAAAATGTGGAGGGATCATTTTTAGATATTCACCTTTATAAAGCTGTCTGAAAAGTGAAACATTTGCTGAATTTTTCTAGCCGGCTTCTATTGTAAAAAAAATAAAATACAAACCACATAGGGAAACATGCAGTCAATAATACAGCTGGAAACCTTGACAAGAAAGGAAATATGCCCTAGGATACTAAATATTGCAGAATACAATGGCTTTGTTGGTCTTTTCTGAAAATTTCAGCATTTATTGGAATTTGGAATCTTCCTTCCATCCTCTCCTTATCACCACCCCCATCTCATCTACCTCTCTAACTCTTAGGAATCTCTGAAAAAGATTATTTTTGTCTAAGTATTTACAATGTTTAATAGAACTAGTCTGCAATCTCATATACTACCAGTAAGTGTCAGTGAATAGTCACATGACATATTCCTAACTGAACAGAAACCCAAGCCTTTGGGTTCTATAAAATGAATTAATGAAGGCAAATTAAATTTCCTTTGTATTCCTTTCTTGATTCTTTGTGGAAGGAACATAGCAATGGGGGAAGATTCAGGAAGAAGAATTAAAAAGGTACAAATAAAAAAAAGAGGCAAATCTAACAAAATCACTTTATTTTAAAAAGTATATGATGAAAAATACCTAACATATAATGTAACATATGAATACAACTCTGTGGCAGTTGACACACAGAACAATGCATTTCATGGCATCAGATAGGGAAAATGTTTATGTAATGCTGTGAGATCTCAAGTTCTATGCTGAATTTGTCTTTCCTAGACAGATATCTGCCTTAGCAGCTAACAATGATTTTCTGGGTCAACCATAAAAAGAAACACTTTTTTCTGCTTATTTAAAAAATCCAAATCGATTCTGGCAAATTGGGGTTCACAATGGATGGGTACACTTAGCTGCCTCTCCAAATATGTTAAGCAGAATTTTATATCCACGCAGGTTGAAGAGAAAGATATTTCTAAACTTGCTTTGTATTTAGATGAATAGCTTTAGAAAGGAGGAGAAAGTGACATGTATTCTTCAACACTGTGTGTCGGGAAACAAACACCAGTAGAATAACAATATGGAAGAGAGCAAGGCAGATTTCATTACGGTAGAGTGCCTACACTTCCTCATAACTTGGATTTACACACTGCAAATCCTCTGATCTGATTACCTCCAGTGATCACGTAAAATACCGGCTTTAAACTCTTTGCCTTAGTGATAAAACAGCCACTTTGATTCACAACGAGACATTCACAATAAAGTATATTGTAAACGTACCTGTCCACAGCCTGGGGCATTGCACACAAACGGTCTGTCGTCTCCCATATTTCATATAGCAGAGCGGAGCTGAAGAGGGGAAGGTAGAGGGAAAAAGTTATGTTAAATACGCTGGAGGAAAAAAAAGTGCTTCAAAAATATCAAGCCTAGAAACAGGTGTTCCAAGAATGCCATCTATCAAAGTCGTAAACACAGGCTACTTTGGGGAGACCAGCTAGACAGGTGGCATATGATCTACAGTTCCTCGATTGAAACTTTTAATTAGAAAAATTTAGACCTTAATAGTCAAAGAATTTCAAACCTTTGCTAGATTTTCCATCTTTCTGCTAAAGTATATAACACATTTCTCCAATCTGCTGAATTACAACCAGTGCAGTTCCCTATGTCAATAAATTCACTGAACGCTCAATGCGGAAGCCATATTTCTGAACTAGAGAAGACCAAAATTTGTCATTTAATTAATTAAGGGATTATAGGAGGGGTGCTCCATTTTACAGGGCCATAATCTGGCTCCCTGGTGTATAAACTACGAGACTGTTGGCAAGGGCCGTTTATTCCAGATTATTGCCAAAGAAAACAAAGCACCCATCCTATTGGGCTACACGGGAAATGATTTTCATTAATAAAAAAATAAAAATAAAAACCTTCTCTTCCCACTGGGAGCCTCCTTCTCCCCCCACCAATCGTCTGTGGCAAATGGAGAAATATCGGTGCCCTTCCCCCCTCTGATTCTATTTATGGCTAGGTTTTTAAAAGCAGCAATAAAACAAATGTCGACTCTTTGGGGGTTTACTGGGTGAATATGTTCCGGCTGTTTGTGCTGCTCTCGGCCAGAGTTCTTGGGCTGCTCTGTTGCAGCCAACAGATGTGTGCTGCTGCAGGGGATAAAAGAAATGGCACTAAAAGGCATCATCATCCATCCCCTCTATTTCTCTGAAGACTTTAACAGGGTTTATACTGTTCTTTAAATTATTGAAACCAAACTCTCAAAATGTTGACTGCAATTCTTTGTCAAAGAACAATAATTCCAATCTGAATGTACAGGGAAAATTTCTCATATTCCAACTACGAATAAAAATAGAGATAGAGATGGCTCGAGATTAGAAATGCAAATCACAATAAAAAGATTCTAAAAGATGAATTGAGTTTTAGAAGAGTGGACAAGAAAAATGGGGTAGAGAGTAAAAACCGTCTTACAGAATAAACTCCTAAAGGACATTTAAAAATATCTTCCATAAGAGAGAAAGGTACACAGAAGAATATGAACAAGGGATGATAAGAAAGGAACTAATATTTGAATATGCCTAAAAATGACTTCAAAACTAGAGATAAACCAAAACGTCAGGGTAATCTGTCAAGCCTGAGTTAAAATAAAATGTTAACGTGCTATACTGAACCTATAATCGGTGCTTAAAACTCAGGTTAGCTAGATAACATCTCTCCTCCTCTCTTAAGATTCACACTGGGGATAGAAACTAGTATTTCTGGTTGTCTAATCAGTAATTCCACTAGTAATCGGTGTTTAACATTGTGGGGTGCCCCATAAAATAGAAAGGGCTTCTTGGTCATCTTTCAGTGTGATAGGAACATGGTCAGACTATGAAGGAAACCGATGCTGCAGCATTGCTGTAATGGAACAGAGCCTGTATGTACATACGTGTACACAGATTTATTTCACATTTAGCCAGGATAAATTGCTTCAATAAATTCTGTTCCTAGGAGAGACCAGCTCAAGCTGATGATTGGGTACTAGGAAATGAGAGCTTCATTCTTCTTCACAGAGCCCCAGGACAAGGGGGTTTTCTGGTTTGTTTGTTTTAAATACATGATGATTTTTTTAGTGCTTTCTGGAACTACAACATAATATAGAAAATAAATACAAGTAAATAAAAGTAAATAAATTCAAAGACAAGGGACATAATGGCTGAAAACACAGAGCATGTCTGGAAAGTAATTCATCTCTGGAAAAATTCCTAACTACTGTGCTAGAAATAATTTTACTTCCTCGTCAAAACCTGCTTTCCTAATATAATCACAACATGAGAATTTTATGTCAACAAGATCTTCTAACGTATTTTCAACCATGAAGTAAACTACAAGAGCCAGAGTAGATATAATACAAGAATCAGGCAGAATTCCTTACTTTTATCTTGGTTCTGTTACTTGGTGCTAAATTTCCTCATTTTTCTACCTATTTAGAGGAGGGAAAGAGTCTTGGCTAAAAAATGGGGCAGCACTGGCATAGAAAGTGATTAAACAAATTCTGGAATAGTTTCCCTCAAACCATAAAATTCAAATTTCAACTTGGCTTTGCACAATCACGTCACAATATGTGGCTTCCAAATTTTATTTAATGGCACCCTTACTAGGAAATAGAGATGAAAAATCATGACTTCCTAGGAGGAAAAAAGCAACAACAACAAAAAATCTTGGGGAAACAAGCATTAAAATCTAACAGAAGTATTTTCACCACTCTTAAATATTCAACTGACAGTCACTAACTAGGATTTCCTGCTTCCTTCCCAATTGGGCTGGCCTTTGTTTTATCATTTTCACCAAAGGAAGATCACAATAGGAGGAAGAAGACTGCTCTCTTCTTAAATACTCACAATGATTCCTAAATCATTCCCTCAATTTCTTGTCCCTTGTCATTTACATCGTTCTTGCTTTTAAAAAATTTCACCTTGAAGTGATTTTTTTTAATTAAATATTTAACAACAATAAGAATGATCTGTCTATCCCATTTATTTAAAAATCTAGCTAACATCTTATTTTAAAAAATTTCTCCTTCATTCCCAGTCTGCTGCATCAATTGCTACATATAAAGAATGCCACTGCTTATTTCTGACACTTAAAATAAATCTCTCATTATCAGCGAGGTCAAACTGATGTCATCTTAAAAACAAAAAGCAACACATTTCTGTAGTATAAACAGACTAAGACAAAAAGTGAAATATTGAATAACGATGCTGCCACTCACCAGAATTTAACTCACAGCTCATTTGTAACTACACTGCTTGACAAGCAGATCATGTGTCTGGGCATGGCACTCACTGTGTGTCATCCCCTTCGAGATCTATTCTTCAGGATGAAACACAAGCATTTTACAGAACTAAACAATAAATGACAGAAGAGGGATACACACATTAAGAAGCACTGCCGGGGGGAAGTGGGATGCTCTCAGAAAGGATCTTAGAACAGGAAAATAAAGATGCCAAGGTCTGCAGAAAGGGCTCATATACTCAAAGTCACCAGAATACAGAAATGATAAAAATTAGTATTTACTCAAAAAAGAAAGTTATTTAAATACTGGAGAGAAGTAAAGAAAACCCAAGGTTTAGAAAAAGACTTTTTAATAACAAGACCAGAAGTAGATCCCAAAAATGGTCAATGTGCAAGAAAATGGATTCTCTGTATATATAGTTACTCTATATCTATATTTATTTTAATAGAATGAGGATGAAGTCTGTCACTGAGGGCTACAAAATCAATTCTCTGAACCTGGTTGTAACATGATCATTTCTCTAGTAACCAACTGATGTTAAAAAGATGGCCCAACTCTAAGTAAGGAATAAAAGCCATATACAAACACACCCGGTGCCTGTCATTAGGTTCCTAATAACAAAAAGCAGACACTGCTAGTACAGAGAAGGACAATGTACCATAAGTATCAAACATTAATAAAAATCTAGAAGAGATTAAGACAAGCTATCATTTGCAGCCACAAAAAAGAACAAAATCATGTCCTTTGCAGCAACATGGATGCAGCTGGAGACCATCATCTAAACAAACTATCACAGAAACAAAAACCTGAATACTGCATGTTTTCACTCATAAGTGGACACTAAACATTGGAAATATGGAAACAAGGATAGGAACAACAGATGCTGGTCACTGCTAAAGGAGGGAGGGAGAGAGGGGAGATAAGGGACACCAAACCATCCATTGGTAATCCATCCCCACCCATTGGGTAGGGGAAGACTGGTCAGAAGCCCAAATCTCACCCTCACAAAATATACTTAAGTAGCAAATCCTCACATGTACTCCACAATTCTAAGATTCAAAAAAAGAAAATTTTAAAAGATTTGTATGATTAAAAAAAATTGTTGGGGGAAAAAGATTAGCTATCATTACTTCATTCAAAAAAACACTATCTTCAGGCCAGGTGCAGTGGCTCATGCCTGTAATTCCAGCACTTTGGGAGGCCGAGGCGCAAGGACTGCCTGAGCCCAGGGGTTTGAGACCAGTCTGGGCAACTTGGCAAGATCCTGACTCTACAATAAATCAAAAAATTAGCCGGGTGTGGTGGTGTGTGCCTATAGTTCCAGTGACTTGGAAGTCTGAGGTGGGAGAATCGCCTGAGCCCAGCAGGTTGAGGCTGCAGTAGTCATAAGTGTACCACTACACTCCAGTCTTGGCAACAGAGTGAGACTCCAACTCAAAAAAAAAAAAAAAAGAATGACAGCTAATTTACAAGTTCAATTAGTCAGAGGTTGATCAGTGTACATGGTCATTTATCAAATTCTTCTGCTAGCAACTCCAGAGTATAGACAAGAACGCAAAAAAGAGGGGTTAACAGTCTTGGTGAAAACTTTAACAAAGAAGAAGTATGAAATTAATAACTACAATTTCTAAATTCATTAATTCACCAAATATTTTATTCAGTGTCTACCATATACTCTAAGCCCCAGTAGTTCAACAGTAAATGAGACAGATAAGATTTCTGCCCTCATAAAGCTTACTTGCATTCTCAAAAGAAAAGACAAACAATAAGCAAGTAAAACAAATAATTTCAGATTAATAGCAGAAAATTGCTATTAAGCAAATGAAACGGTGATGTGTTAGTGACTGGAAGAGGGCAATTTTAGTTTCATGACTAAAAAGAAAATGGCTGCATCAAAGGGAGAGTAGGGTAGGATACAGAGATCTAGGTTAAAACTTCAGGAAGCCTTTCTCTTATAATAGTAGATGTCAATATGTATTGGTTTATATTTAGTAATTTTTTTTTTAATTCGGTCTCACTCTGTTGCTCAGGTTGGAGTGCAGTGGCATGATCATGGCTCACCGCA